GTTTTCCATGGTGTGGTTGCACGCTGCTATTTCTGCTACATGGAAACTCTGCTAGGGGCCCGGGCTGTGGTGTAGCAGGTAAAGCCACCCTATGTGACATCAGCATCTCCTATGGGTGTCAGTTCGATATTGGCTACTCCATTTCTGATCCATTTTCCTTTTAATGTGCCTGGAAAGCACCAGAAGGCGGCCCAAGAACTTGAACCAGTAGGAGACCTGGAAGAAGCTCCTTGCCCTTGGCTTCAGCCTGATTCAGCCCTGGCCACTGCAGCCAGTTAGAACGTGAGCCAATAGATGGAAGATCTCTCATCTCTCCCTCCCTCTCTCTCCATAACTTTGAGTTTCAAACAAATATATCAATCTTTAAAAATTAAAATAAAATTTGGGCCCGATGCAGTGACCAAGCTCCTAAAATCCCTGCCTTGAACAAGCCAGGATGTATGGGCGCCGGTTCTAATCCCGACAACCCCACTTCCCATCCAGCCCCCTGCTTGTGACCTGGGAAAGCAGTCGAGGATGGCCCAAAGCCTTGGGACCCTGCACCCACATGGGAGACCTGGAGAAAGTTCCTGCCTCCTGGCTTTGGATCGGCACAGCACTGGCCGTTGAGGTCACTTGGGAAGTGAACCAGCAAATGGAAGATCTTCCTCTCTATCTCTTCTTCTCAGTATATCTGACTTTGCAATTTTAAAAAATCTTTTAAAAAATTAAAATAAAATTTAAAAATAGAATTAAGTGGAGACATACTCTCAGGCTGGGTGCTTTGAGGAAATCGGCATTACTGGCTAAAGCAAACTACTACTGCAGCAGCATGAATTGTCAAGCCTTTGCAATAAGACATCCTGGGCTTAAATTTCCGCTCTAAAGCAGAACACTGGAAGAGTGCAGGCCAATCAGAGCTTCAGATCCAGGCCGAAGCTGGATCTAAGAGTGTCATCCAGGTCTCCCACAGGGGCGCAAGGACCCGACCACTTGGGCCATCTTCTACTCTTTCCCCAGTTCTTTAACAGGGAGCTGGATCAAAAGTGCAGCTGCCAGGACTCAAGCAAGCACCTACAAAGCAGTTAAACCTGCTGTGCCTCGAAGCTGGCCCCAAGGGTTTATTATTATTATTGAAAAGTAAATAACATAATAAATGTTGGTGCTGCTTTGACATCTCCCCTCAGAATATCACAATTGTAATTAAATGTTTTATAGAGTGCTTAGTTGTTTAATGCCTGCCTCTCTAAGACATCCTCTAATGCCTTAGAAAACTAAGCGCCACCACGTCATGGTGCATTCCCAGAATGCAGAACAATGTTTTGCATACAGTAAGCATTCAATAAATATTTGAATGGATATTAAATTCTTAGATGAGTAGTCTGTGGCAACTCCAATGTCGGAAGGATCATTGCATTCAGTCCTGGTTCAGAGAAAAGACTAGCCTGGGCTTCGGTTTATCACGGCTGGGCTGCTGTATCCAGCTACAAATATTGTGCGCCATACAAAGGTACCTGGCCAAGACGGAAGTAGGGACTAGGGAGGCCAGCGCTGTGGCGGGAAAAGCAGCAGGGATGGCCCAAGTGTTTAGATATTCTCCTAAACTCCTGCATTCTCCTGGGACTCCTGCCTTCTGCCTGGCTCGGCCCCAGCGGCCTCAGTGGGGAGTGAATCAGTGCATGAAAGCTCTCTCTGTCTCTCCCTCTCTGTAACTCTGCCTTTTAAATAAATAAAATCCCCCCCTCTCTTTCTCACTGTCTCTCTTCAAAGAAAAAAAAAGCCAAATAGAAGGAGAGACTGAAATTCGAACCATGGGCTTGGGGAAGAAAAAAAACAGAGTAAGTTGCACAGGGCACACGGTTGAACGTGGAGATGTCATCTGGGGATGATCACCAAGGCCAGCCCATCAGGCTAAGCCATTGGCTTGGGCTCGCAGCATCAATCCCCAGCCTCCATAACCATCAAACCCTGGGCAAGGGTCTTCTGAGCTTAGGTGGGATGTGGTACAGCAGCAGGTGGAGAGACCTCCAATCAGATGGCTGAGACCACCTCGTCCCAGAACACAATCCGGCCCTAGCCACTGTTTTAATGCTCCCCTAACCTGCGGAATTGCTCTCTCTCTCTCTCTCTCTCTCTTTCTCTCTCTGGTGTCTCAGCTGCACCTTTAGGTGGGGCTGCATGAAGACAAAACTGTTTTTCCACTGGGGCCATGAGTCAGTGAAGAGCGAGATTCCACTTAATCATCTTCCCAAAACAAGGGTCTTAATACGAGAAGCTCGAAAAGCAAGGAAGTGATTAATGTAGAAGTCAGCATGGTGACTCTCACTGGGGAACAACAGACAGGAGAGGAGGAGGAGCGGGGGATGGAGAGGAATTACCCAGGGTGTGGGGGGTCTGACAACATTCTGTGCGGTTTCTTTTCTTCTTTTTTTCCCTCTCCTTTTCTTTCTTTCTTTCTTTCTTTCTTTCTTTCTTTCTTTCTTTCTTTCTTTCTTTCTTTCTTTCTTTCTTTCTTTCTTTCCTTTCTCTCTCTCTTTCTTTCTCTTTCTCTCTCTCTCTTCCTTTCTCTCTTTCTTTCTTTCCTGTTTGTTCTTATTGTTCATGACTGTTTCACAGCTTGCCGTCTCTTGCCCCAGGGGTTAGCAGTGCTGATGGCTGCTTTGGAATCGTACTCACACATTGACATCATTTTCTAAGTGTTTAGATCCACAACTTTGGGTGACTTTACAAGCACACACGCACACACACAAACACACGAGTTTTTAAGCAAAGCCCAAGTCTGGACATTAGACGCTCACTTGGGTGTGGACCAAGGCTGGAGGCAGGGAGTCTGCTCTAACGTGCTCACAGATGATAATGTCCAGAGTAAGAAAATGCAAGCACCGAAGGATGTGTGATCACTGCTGTTAAACACACAGAGCCTACCTACCCCGCGGTGTCCTTTTGATTCTTAGGCCTTAGAGCCATTTAGTTCAGGAGTTAGAGTCTAAGGGCAAACACGTGTCCAAGCAGACACATGGACCAGGCCTTCCTCCATCTCAGCTCTCTGGGACATCTGGCCAAAGGGATTTGGACTGCTGGTCAGCCGTAGTGAGAATGCATTTTGCGACAGACTGTGCTGTTTCCAAGTTAAGCTGACAAGAGGGCTTCCTACCATAAAGCAACACTTAAGCATAATCCCTTGTCACCCGAGCCATCACAGAATGGTTGTATCTCTACTGCATGGTACCAGAATGCTACCTCCATGAGGGCAAGGGTTCTGTCCCTGTGTTTCACTGCTGTCTCCCCAATGCCTAGAACTCAACCCAATACATGGCCGGGATCTGAGAAATACTACTGAGTGAATGACCACATTTAAGTACGATTATTATTTGTATTTAATCACCTGTAAGGATAGCTAAGGCATACGGGATTATCCTCAATCTGTGAATTAGACAATGGTAGTACTCAGGGAAAATAAAGAACACATCAAATCAATAATAACTTGGGCCTGGTGCCATGGCCTAGCGGCTACAGTCCTTGCCCTAAACATGCCAGGATCCCAAAGGGGTGCCGGTTCTAATCCCGGCAGCTCCACTTCTCATCCAGCTCCCTAATTGTGGCCTGGGAAAGCAGTTGAGAATGGCCCAAAGCCTTAGGACCCTGCACCCACATGGGAGACCCGGAAGAGGTTCTGGTTCCTGGCTTTGGATCAGCACAGTACCAGCCATTGCAGTCACTTGTGGAGTGAATCATTGGACGGAAGATCTTCCTCTCTGTCTCTCCTCCTCTATGTATATCTGACTTGGCAATAAAAATAAATAAATCTTTTTTTAAAAATTAATAATAACCTGGTTGGCAACAGAAACAAGATTCATTTAATTCTCGTGCTTCCCCACCCCCACTTCTTCACAGGTGAAGCGAGCTAAGGTTTCAGTGTCTTCTACCTCTTTTAACACAGTTGAAACTCTTCCAGAATCTCTGGGTTAGCAGATGCCCTGTGCTCCCTGCCCGGCTGCCAACCAAACACTCCCGACCCAAGACCGCCTGTCTGCACCCCCATGGCGCCCCACATCCCCTGCTTGCCTCTACTCCCCACACTGGCTATATACCTCTCCAGCCAGAAAAAGTTATGAGAAATCTACTACAAAACCATGTGTTGTGATGATAGAGATATGTGTGTGTGTGTGTGTGTGTGTGTGTGTGTGTGTATGCATAGAGAAAAGTCAAGAAGAAAGGAAATGTGGCACGGGGTAATTTGAATGCTCTTCAAAAACTTTTATCAGCCAAATGAAATCCCCTCGAGAGGGTCAAAATGGAATGCTCTGTGAACAAGTCACTTCCCTCTTAGTATGGGTTAAAATGAGCATTCTGGGAGCCAGTGCCATGGCTAGTCAGGCTAGTCCTCCACCTACAAGCGCCAGTATCCCACATGGACACGATTTCATGTCTTAGCTGCTCCACTTCCCACCCAGCTCCCTGGCTCTGGCCTGGGAAGGCATGGAGGATGCCCAAAGCCTTGGGACCCTGCACTTGCATGGGAGATGTGGAGGCAGTTCCTTTGGATCAGCTCATCTTTAGCCATTGTGGTGATCTGGGGACTGAACCTGAACCAGCAGATGGAAGATCTTTCTGTCACTCCTTCTCTCTGTAAATCTGCTTTTCCAAAAAAAACAATTAAAAAAATTTTTTTAATGAAAGCAAGCGCATTGCAGCACAAACCACAATGCAGATCCTGGGAAATTCAGAATGCTCAGTGAACAGCACCATGCTTACACCTTAGCTCTGTACGTGTTTGGCAGGGTTCCTAGTCAAACTTCAAGCAATCAATGACCAAGTACCAAAACGAATATTTTTGAGAGAATACCTAAAAACACACGCAAACCACGGAGGAAAGTTAAACATCTAAGCGGCCTTCTTCTCCTTTTAGAAGATCTGACACACTCCCTCGATCCCATCTTAGATTGGTTTGGGAGAGTTGGGGAAACCTCATCCCTTTGAGCCATGTAGGAGCCACCGGGAACGGCCTCGGCAGGACTCACCAGAAATTCGTTGGCCAACTCCTCTTTGCGGGTGTTCTTGCTTTGGGCCTCCTCCAGGAACCTGCACAGAACTTCTCTTTGGTCCATGCTGTAGAGCCAGAGAAGCAGCGGCTGACCTGCCTGGGGGAGGGCATGTCAGATGTGTGTCATGGCCGAGACGCCACCAGTGCTGCGAAGCGCCGCTGCCGCCCGAGCGGAGCACGCTGCAGGCTGTGGTTGACTGACTTCATCGCAAGCTCTAGAGGAAATTAGTGCACAAGCAGCTTCTGTGGTCACGGAGCTACCCGCCTTCTCAACTCCCGGGGCCCTAGTGCCTTCCTCCTGCACCAAGACAGCCGCTTGCAAACAAGAGGCTAACCAGAACGCAAATGTGGTCGGCCAAGCTGGAGACTTCCCGCTCCAGCACTGGGAAGCAGCGATTCTACCTAAGGGCCTGCTTCCCAGAAAAGTCTCTCTCAGGGTCTGCAATGAGCGCAAAGGCACCTGCTCACACCTCTATTCCTCACGTCCCCAAAGGAAACCCCAAATGCACTTGCGCCCAGAAGAGGAGAAAGACGCAGTTCGGAGTTGCATCCTTCACGGAGACAGCCCCCCACCCCGGGATTTCTTATCACTGCAATCAGCAGTGAACTGTTCATCAGTTTCTATTCAGAACTTTTCCAGCTGCCACACAGACACCTCAAGTTCTCCTGTGGATGAAACAAAGTCAGCTGCTTCTGACAGTCAGTGTCTCTCCAGCGTTTCTCTGCCTTCGGCTGAGAAAGCTTGGCTGAGCCCAGTACCTCCTGGAACTGTACTTGGGTTGCGATAGAAAGACTGAGGGCGTGGGTCTACCGAGGATCAGGTGAACAAGCAGCCCCCACGAACGGCCCCTGACCACAGGCCGTTAGCACAAGAGCCTCTGAATGCAATGCTGGGAAACGGCAAAGGCACAAAAAAGAAAGTAAAATCAACCACAAGCACCTTCCGACAGCCGGTGGTGTCATTTCTGGGGTGCAGCCTGAGAACTGTGTCTCCTTCTGGTTCTAGGCACCTCGCATTCAGCATCTTGGAAAAGCTCCCCTCTGCATGGGGGCCTGGGGCCTTGCCAAGTGGGCTGCTGTGGAGAGGGTTTCTGCATCTCTCACCAATGGGGACGAAATCCCCCCCAGTGCCAAATTCAGGATGAAAGCATTCAAACTGGCACATCATATTGGGCTGAGGACAGAAGTTCAAGAAATATGAAGTGAACAAAATTTATCCAGAGTAATCCTAGGGCCTGGCGTGATGACTCAACTGACCAATCCTCCACCTCCAAGTACTGGGATCTTACACGGGTGCTAGTTTGTATCCCATCCAGCTCTCTGCTTATGGTCTCGGAAAGCAGTAAAGGGTGGCCCCTGACCTTGGGACCCTACACCCACATGGGAGCCCTGAAAAAATTCTTGGCTCCCAATTGGCTCAGCTCTGGCTGTTGCAGCCACTTGCGCAGGCAAACAGTGGATGGAAGATCTTTTTCTCTGTTTTTCTATCTCTCTGTAAATCTGCCTTTCCAATAAAAATAAACATATCTTTTAAAAAGTAATCTTAGGGCCCGGAGCGGTGGCGCAGTGGTTAAGGTCCTTGCCTTGCACGTCCGGGATCCCATATGGGCGCTGGTTCTAATCCCGGCAGCCCCGCTTCCCTTCCAGCTCCCTGCCTGTGGACCAGGAAAGCAGTCGAGGACAGCCCAAAACTTTGGGACCCTGCGCCCGTGTGGGAGACCCGGAAGAGGCTCCTGGCTTTGGATCGGCATAGTATCGGCCGTTGCGCTCACTTGGGGAGTGAATCATCGGATGGAAGATCTTCCTCTCTGTATATCCGCCTTTCCAATAAAAAAAAAATAATAAAAATAAATCTTAAAAAAAAAAAGTAATCTTAAAGAAAAAGGGGAAATGTATCTAAGTATTAGCAACCCCTTTAGCCTTTACTATTATTCCAATTCCTTTCAGGAAATCATTATTCTCAACTTACTTGTAAGCCCTGAAGTGCTTCAGTTGCCTGAGCAGAGAAAGGTCACTGAGGTGCCTGATTCCAGGCGGCGTGAAGTCAGTGTTCACAATGAAGCATTGCAATGCCGGCCCATGTAAATGGAAAGAAACTGGGAATCTTCAGCAGTATTTTGAGGGGGGATAGGTTAATATTCCTCCAATTCTCCCTTGTGTAACTTTCAAGGAGAGTTTCTGGCACTCTAAATGATGCAATCTTTTAAAGATTTATTTATTTTTATTGGGAAGTCAGATTTATAGAGAGAAGGACAGACAGAAATCAAGACCTTCTGCCTGCTGGTTCACTCCCCAAGTAGGCACAATGACCAGAGCTGAGCCGATCTGAAGCCAGGAGCCAGGAGCCACGTCCAGGTCTCCCGCACGGATGCAGGGCCCCAAGGTTCAGGCTATTCTTGACTTCTTTCCCAGGCCACAAGCAGGGAACTACAAGGCAAGAGGAGCAACCAGGACACAAACTGGCCCATATGGGATCCTGGCACATGCAAGGCGAGGACTTTAGCCACTAGATTACAGCACCAGGCCCAATACAATTTTTTTTAAAGATTTATTTTTATTATTATTTTTTTTATTGGAAAGGCGGATATACAGAGAGGAGAGACAGAGAGGAAGATCTTCCGTCCGATGATTCACTCCCCAAGTGAGCGCAACGGGCCGATACTATGCCGATCCGAAGCCAGGAGCCTCTTCCGGGTCTCCCACACGGGTGCAGGGTCCCAAAGCCTTGGGCCGTCCTCGACTGCTTTCCCGGGCCACAGGCAGGGAGCTGGAAGGGAAGCGGGGCTGCCGGGATTAGAACCAGCGCCCATATGGGATCCCGGACGTGCAAGGCAAGGACCTTAACCACTTGCGCCACCGCGCCGGGCCCCCAATACAATTTTTAATTTCTCTATTCTAAACCAAGAAATTTAGGAAAACCTTATATTTAAAAAATAATAATTTCCATTTAAAAGTATTTATCTTTTGGGGCCCAGCACAATAGCATAGCAGCTAAAGTCCTCACCTTGTATACGCTGGGATCCCTTATGGGCACTAGTTCTAATCCCCGGTAGCCCTGCTTCCCATCCAGCTCCCTAATTGTGGCCTAGAAAAGCAATCGAGGACAGCCTGAAGCCTTGGCACCCTGCAACCATGTGGGAGACCTGGAAGAGGCTACTGGCTTCGGTTTGGCTCAGCTACAACCATTGCAGCTGCTTGGAAAATGAACCAGTGGATGGAAGATCTTCTTTTCTGTCTCTCCTCCTCTCTGTGTATCTGCCTTTCCAATAAAACTAAATAAATATTTTTAAAAAGTATTTGCATTTTGAAAAAGTTACAGAAAGAAAGCTTTACAGTGGCTCAACAGTCTAACTCTCCTCCCTCAAGCGCCAGCATCCCATATGGGCATGGTTCCTGTCCCATCTTCTCCATTTCCTAACCAGCTCCTGCTTGTGGCCTGGGAAAGCAGTGGAGGATGGCCCCTGGGTCCCTGGGTCCCTATGGGAGACCTGGAGGAGACCTCTGGTTCCTGAATCAGCTCAGCTCTGGCTGTTGGGGCCATTTGGAGTTTGAACTAGCAGATGGGAAGTCTTTCTGGTTTTCCTTCTCTGTAAGTCTGACTTTCCAATAAAAATAAATAAATTCTGTTTAAGGCATGCACTGGGTCTTACGTGTCTGCTCCACTGTAAAACCCAAAGGTCTAGAAGCACAAAGCTATCAAACCTCAAAACCCACTCTAAATAAGTAAGTAAAACCCAGTCAGCTACAGGGCCATTTCCTGAGTAGACCACTCAGGCAAGCAAACAACAAACTACAGGAGAAAACAAAACAAAACGCACACCCCCCCCCCCCAGTTTTGTTTTTAACAAACCCAAGCTCTTACTTAATTCTTCACACTTCCTTCAAGGAGCTTCTTGGTTTTTAATGAACATTGTGTTGACTCATTTGTGTCGTGTGGGAAGATGAAGAGCACAGGAGGGGAAACAAAACGCAGCAAAGGTTGGAAAATACCTACAAGAGTCGGAGACTTTACACCGAAACGTTTAAGCCAGTGAAGCAGAAACCCTCCGTGAACACAACAATTCCATGTGAACACTCGGAAAGGCTTAGTAAAGCTGCGTGTTGCACCTGAAGGGGAAATGCGGAGGACGCCGCAGCTCACTGCTGCCCCCTGGCGTCCTAGGAAAAGGGCCAACAGGCAGGCGTGCCAGGCGCTCAGCCGTCTACCAGCGTAAGGGGCAACAACAGTGTACTAGGAATTAGATGAGAAAATCTCTTACAGAGAACTTCAGATTATCAGGATGACCAACAGCAAAACTACTCGGGCTTCTCGGAAAATCCCCTGTCATTCTGCTATCTTCTGGTAACAAAGACTGAATGAAAGCTTTTAAAACTCCATTCTAAAAAGAATGAGTGGGGTCCCAGCACGGGAGCCTAATGCTAAAGTCCTCGCTGTGAACACACTGGGATCCCATGTGAGCGCCAGTTCTAATCCCGGCAGCCCTGCTTCCCATCCAGCTCCCTGCTTGTGGCCTGGGAAAGCAGTCGAGGACAGCCCAAAACCTTGGGACCCTGCACCCATGTGGGAGACCTGGAAGAGGTTCCTGGCTCCTGGCTTCAGCTCAGCTCAGCCCCTGCTGTTGTGGTCACTTGGGGAGTGAACCATCGGACAGAAGACCTTCCTGTCTGTCTCTCCTCCTCTCTGTATATCTGACATTCCAATAAAAATAAAAAAAATCTTTTAAGAGAGAGAGAAAGAGGGAGGGAGAGAGAGGAAGACCTCCTTTGGGTCATTTCTTTAAAAAAAAAAAAAAAAGGAGCGATGCACAAGTACGTGTTTCAGAAGAAGGGAGAGTCATCTCCACCCTGCACAAGCGCCTGCTCGGCTGGACTCTGCTACAGCTATCACTATGAGGAACAATGCTGCACACTTCCACCCGGAAGGGAATCTTCACCAGACTCTGCAGCATGCAGCGGAAAACCAGCCGGGACAACCACGAAAAGGAGCAAAAGGCAGGAAGAAGCTCCGACTGGAGACCGTCATGAGTCCCTGTGTAATCCCGAGATGGCATCCTGTATCCAGTGGGTGGATGAAAGCAAAGGCACCTTCCAATTTGTGTCAAAAAAACAAAGAGGATGAACTCTGGAGACAAAGAAAAGGTAACCGGAAGACCATGACTTACCAAAAAATGGCGAGGGCACTGAGGAATTATGGAAGAAGTGG